TCCTGTGGGACCCCTACCTGCCACCCCACCAGGCAGAGCCACGCCCCGTGTACCACCCCCTGGGCCACAGGAGGTGGGCTGGGGCAGTTATAGCACCCTTCAGGATCCCCCATAAACACCGCCCCACAGACCAACCCCATCCTTGCCAACATGGGGACCAGGCCAGGGTGGCTTGTTTTTGCACAGCGCCACAGTTGTTAGGTGTGAACTGCTACGAGAAATGACTTAATTAATGGCGGCCATGAGGAGAGTGAGAGAAAACTTGCTGTGAATCCAAAATGTGCCTTCCCTCCGGGCCTACGGATACTTAGAGCCTGAGAGGCCCAGCTCTTCGCTCTTCCTGCGACCGGCACTTTCAGCATCCTGATGTTTGCAGTGATAACGTGTGAGGTGTATGTGAGGGGCCGGGAGGGGCTCCCAGAGCGCCCCATGAGACTGAGGGAACGCACGGCTGGCAAAGAGAGGAAGGACTTATTCAGCTAACCTTTATCATGCACCTGCTTATCATGCAGGCCTCTGGGACCCCAAGGCAACGCCTTGCCCTGCTGGCAGGAGGCTGACAGCATGGTGGTGTGTGTGACAGGGACCAGGCTTCATTGCCGATTGGCAGCACCCCTTACTTGGTGTGGGCCTGCTTCTCTGTGTCTCTGTCTCTCTCCCTCCTGCCTTGTCTGCCCTGGTTCCCGTCTCTGTCTTATGGAATCCTTGGATTTCAGGGCAGGAAGGCCCTAGAATCCTCTGACTACACCCCTCCTTTTACTCCTGAGGAAGCTGAGGGGCAGACAGGGATAGCGACTTGCCCAAGGTCACATAACTGTTTAGGTGTCCTACTTTTTCTTTGTTTTTTTTTGCTTCTTTCTATCATATTTGTCTCTCTTGTGTGCGTTTGCAAAACTGACACAGAAAGGCGAAGTCACACAGAGAGACAGACTGCCCCCTTGATAGTAGCAGAGGGTGTCCTGGGCACAGAAACATTCTGGCACAAAGAGGGAGGTACCCAGCGCCGCTCTGGCCTGGGGAGAGCAGTGGGGTAGCCAGGAGGAGGAGGAGGACTATGCCACGATGCCCCTGGTCTGGTCTGCCAATGTCCTGTTGCTGGCTGGAAGAAGTCCCTCACTAGAGGTGGGCGTTAAGGTGGAGACACCCCTCCATCCATCTCTGGAGGCTGGGCCTGGCCCCAAGGTCTAGCCAGGGTTCCCTGGGGGCCTGGGACTTAGGCAAGACAGGTAGACTGGGTCCCCTGGCATGTCCTGGGGTTTAGTGACCAGAGGAGAAAGTGGGGGCTGGGTTTAGGGATGGGCCAGAACATAGAAATCAGGGGTCCTCAGCCTGAGAGCTCCAGGTGGTCTCACTTTCTTCTCTCTCCCATTCTCTGTCTCTCTTTCTCTGTCTCTGTCTCACACACACACACACACACACACACACACACACACTCTATCCGTGAGGGTAATTTCATTCCGCTAAGAAAAGCTTTATTGCTGGCGGTGTAGGGAAAAGGGGCAGCGGGAAGAGGTCTCTCCCTTCAGTCTGGTTTCCTTTGTTCCTCCCTTGCCTTCCTCCCGCTCCCCTTCCAGCTTCCCTCCTCTCCTTCTAGCCGCTTTCTTCCATTCTCCCTCCCTCTTCGCCTCCTCCCCCCTCCCCCTGAGCTGGGACCCCGTAATGGGACCTCCATAGAAGGCGGGGAGGGTGAGACTCTGGGCTCTGGCCCCAGCCTCGGTGGCCATCTTCCCGCAGGGAAGGAGTTAAGTCTCTTCGCTGCATCCCTCCTCCCTCCTCTGCCTCCCCCCGCCGCCTCTGAGTCCTGCAGCTAGGCCCTGGGCTGACCTTCACCGGGAGGGAGGCCGCAGTGCGCATGCCCAGGCCGGCTCCGGGCCGGCTCCCGCCGCTGTCCCGGCCCCCGGCGGGCGAGGGCGAGGCCGGGCGGCTGCGGGCCGGGACGTGTCCCCGGCGCTCGGGCGCGGTGGGGGGGCCGCCGCCGAGCCCGTCCCGCCGGCCGCGGCGCATCTCTCCCTGCGCGGGGAGAGGCGCTTTGCCATTTGGTGCTGGTGGTGCTTCGGCGAGGGAAGGAGAGATGGGGGGACGGCAGGGGGGACTCCGGCTCCGGGCCGCCGGGCGACCGCCCTCTGCCCGGACACGCACACGGCCTGCCCGGAGCACGGCCTGGGCTAGTCAGCCGCGCATAAGGGTCCAGTCCGGCCGGGAGGAAAGCCCCCTGCCCGCTGGCATCGGGGCTTTCCCTGGGCCTCCTTGCCACCCGGCAGGAGCCGGCGGCGTGGCACTGCTGAGGGCCCTTCTGGGGCTGAGCCTTAGGGGATCCTGGCCTTTGTGAGGTGGGAGTCCTGGCCGGGGCACCCACACTGGCGCCTCTGCTTTCTAGGCTGAAGGCTCCCTGGTGTCCTCACACCTAGGGTCGCCCCTGTAAAAGCAGCATGCAAACGTGTCTGCTGGCGGGTGCCTTGTGAATTGTGCCTTGCAAGTGGGATGTGGAGGTAGTCAAGGTGTGACTGTGTGTGCAAATCCATGTGGCTCCTTGTCCATCTGGTGTTTGCATTGGTGTGTGCCTCGGGGGCATGTATGCGCCATGTATCTGTTGTCTGTGCACCATAAGAATGTCTCCCAGAGAGGGAGCTACAGGGGGAGGCCCTGGTCCTGGGGTGGCCTGGGAGCGGGTTATTGGTGGACATGAATGACTTAGGGGCTTCTCCTCGAGTACCGCCAGAGCCCTTGGTCTAACCATCTCCTGCAGTCTCCTCCACCCCCAAGACCAGCCCCTCACAAATGCTGGTGTTCCCACTGTCCTTCATGCCCCTTCCTCAGACTTTTCAGCTGCCCAGTCTGGGATGCCCATCCACCTCCTCTGCTGTCTTCTTTCCCCAAAAGGCCTCTCCAAAGGTTGAGACCTCTGCGCTTTACACAAAGCCTAGAGGTGTCTACCCCTGCCCAGTCCCCTAGAACCTCCAAGGCCCGTGGGTTCACATGTTCATGCTAGAAGCACCCATGGCAGGTGGGGGTGTCCATGGTGACCCACAGTTTCAGGTAAGCGTCAGAGTATGAGCTCTGTTCACTGGCCCACTGGGCTTTGGGTGGTTGCAAGTGTTAGCAGACATCTGGTTAGGTCACGTCCCCGTGTCCAGGCATGAGGGGACAGTGGGACTTAAAGACTGGTCTCTGACTTGAGGGGGATGCAGCCTATTTGGGAAACCACATCTAATCCACACGAACCACAGGGCACCTCAGACACGAGTCAGTCAAGCACTGATCCATGGCGCAGGACAGATGGCAAGGGCATTCGGAGAAGGGAAAGATCCACACATAGGAGTGGGACCAGGGAAGGCTTCCCTGGGGGAGGTGGGGCCAGAGCTGGGCTTTAAACAGTGAATGTGATCTGGACAGGCAGAGGGATTCCAGGCAAAAGAGTAGCGGGAGCAGAGGCTTAGAAATGGGAATAAGTGAGGGGTTTTGGAGGTTAGCTTACAGACTAGAGAGATTACCTCCCCAGGTTACCAGCAGCTGCCATCATGGCCCATGGTAACTACTCGCCCATCCCCACCCCAAAAGGGCCTGGTGTCTGTATGTGGGGGTCCTGGGGGAAGCCTAGGTAGAGATTTGGTAGGAATGGGATCTCTAGGTCCCCTGCTAAGCCAGCAGTAGAGGAGGGGCATCCGGGACCACATACCCTCTCTGACCTTTCAGGGGATTGACACTGGGCACCTAAATGGACAGTGACAGCCAGATGCACAACCAGGGCCCGAGGAAATCAGGCTGCAGGCAAAAAACACTCCCTTGGTTCTTTGTCCTGACCTCTAAAGGCATTTTGAAGGGTTAAGGGTCAGGAACCCCCAACATAATGCTGGGTCTTCAGGGTCTAACTTCAAATAAGTTTTCCAACACATTCTGCCAGGCATCGCCCCATCCTCACCTGGATTCTGACAGTGCAGCCCCAGGAGGCCCATAAACCTGACCCACTGCTGTCCCAAAGCTGTGGGCTCATCCTCCAGGAGGAGAGGGGCGTGGCCTTTGAGGGCATGGGCGGGACCAGAGCTCCCAGCCTGGGGATCTCAGGATTTGCTCCTCCTGCTTCCTGTCCCTCCTGTACCCCAGGGACTGCCAGCTTCCTCTGCTTGGCCCCTCCTGGGACTCCCTCATAACCCCACCCCTACCTCTCCTTTCTTGGGGGTTTTGAGACTGGCCCTACCATACCCAGCGGGCCCAACTCCCCTGAGTCCCCTACCCCCACCCACACTCCATTCCAAAGCCATCAGGCCCTGCTTGCCTCACTCTCTCCACCCAGCCACCCAGGCACCCACCCCAGCTCCTTGCCTCCCCCACACTTCTCTTCCTGTTCTCATGAGCCCAGTCCACCTCCCTCTTTCTGAAATACTTCCCCTATTGCCCTCACTTTCTCACATGGAGACAAACAAAGACTCACATCCCCAGAAATAGACTCACACGGCGCTGGAAGACACAGGCCATGTCCTGCCACACACGCACCCGCACGCGCGCACACGCACTAAAGGCTCTCGTGGAGGGAGGCACACAGAGACGGCATTTGTCTGTGCACGCACATAAACATCCACACCCACCGCCACCGCGCCGTGCCCACACGAGGGTGCAGACACACACGGCGGGTGAGACAAGGGCGCACACATCCGTGGACGCAGGGGGACACCGCCTCCCTGGGCACACCCACCACTGCCGGCCTGGTGCAGGAGGAAGGCCTCCTCTGGGCTCAGGCTCCCCCCCGGATTCCTTCCAGCGAATGTTTCCCTACTTGGCCTGCCAGGTCTCTGGGGAAAGGGCCTCAGAAATGCAGCAGGAGCCACTTGGGGGGAAAGTTGGAACTCACTGTTCCCTGCCTGGCCCTGCTGGCGAATTCTCTAACTGAGAAACTATTCGTGGCGAGAGCCCGGGTGGCCGGCGAGCCCCCCGCCACCTCCCCTTGCGTCCCCTCCTCGCGCCGCCTCCCCGCGGCCCTCGGGCGGCCTCGGGCTGCAGTGGCGCTGCCCAGCGCCCAGGAGCCGGGCTTGCCGGCGTGCCTCGCTGCTTATCTGCGCTGTTTGGACAGCGAGGGTTGGAAAGGCAGGCTTTTCTGTCCCCGCCGAGTCAACAGGCAGACCCCGGGCCGCCGGACTATTTCTGTCTTATCAGTGCAGGAATGCGGCAGCCGCGGCGGCGGCGGCGGCGGCGGCGGGCGGGCGGCGGCGGCGGCGTGGGCCGTGGGCCGTCAGGGCAGCCCTGAAGGGGCCCCCTCCCCACTCCGCTCGAGTAGAAGTGTGAGAGAGCCCAGCAGGACTCAGAGGGGAGAGTTGGAGGAAAAAAAAAGGCAGAAAAGGGAAAGAAAGAGGAAGAGAGAGAGAGAGTGAGAGGAGCCGCTGAGCCCACCCCGATGGCCGCGGACGAAGTTGCCGGAGGGGCGCGCAAAGCCACGAAAAGCAAACTTTTTGAGTTTCTGGTCCATGGGGTGGTGAGTGGGGGAAAGTTAGCGGGGGAGGGTGAGGAGCTGGCTCGGGCTGAATGGAGGGATGATCGGGAGGGGCCAGGAGGGGGCTCCCGCTCTCCCACCCCTCTAGCGGGGGGCGCCACGGCCCGCGGCCCAGCTCCGCGACTGTGCTGGCGCCCTGGCACCCGAACACGTCGTCAGGCGGCCGGCCGGGGATGGGTGTCCGGGCGGGGAAGGGAGGCGTTTGCATGGGTTCTTGTCAGGGGCTGGGGGTGGGACTTGGGGGTTGTCCCCCTCAAGTGGGGGCATCCCCTCTGTACCAGACGTGTTGTCTTCCGTTCTTTTCCTTGTGGGCCCAGGTGTTACCCCTGTCCTGGGGGTGGGGGTGGGGGACATGGCATCCGATGGGCTGGGCTGTCTGTTCATCCATTGGGACAGTGTCTCTCTGATTGTGGCTCGGGAGCAAGGAGCAGGTGACCCTGGAGGCACTGGGCGGGAAGCTCTCTGTCTGAACAACCTCTGCCTCCTGGCAGGAGGGCTCTGGGGCTTTGCTGATGGCCTCTGCCATCAGGGTCAGAGAGAGGCTCTCTCTAGGGACAGACCCCAAGTTAAGGGGTCTGAGGATCCCCTTGGCAGACTTGGCCACCAGAAGCTGATGTCCTTAATGCCTCAAAGGTGTGAAGGAAGGGCTGGAGTCAGGGACGTTAGGCCTAGGGACCAAAGGGGCAGGGCAGCACGTCCTGCCACGAGCAGACTTGGAAGGCACGCAGGGAGCTGAGGAAGCACAGGGCGACCTAAGCAGATGGGGGACTCAGGCTGAGGCAACAGGGGCCAGGTTGGGAGGGGTGTGGAGGGCAGTGCAATGGGAGAGGCAGGGGCTCTGGGACGTGGGATGGGTGCTGGGGTTGGAGGCGGGTATAGAGGAAGCAGTCAGGTTCACTGTGGCCAAATTTGGTTGTGACCCCAAGGAAAGCATGTTCTCAGTGAGGGAGCCCAGAGTCCCTAGAATCTTGGCCCTTCCTTGGTAGCTGGCACCGCTGTCTGGGGGCTCTGGAAGCCTCCCTCTCAGGGCCTCTTCTGCAGATCAGTGAGTCTTGCTGGCCTTGATAAGTGGGAGAGCAGCTGATAGGGGAAAGGGGCTTCTCTGGGGCAGCCTCTCCACCAGCCCTGGGGATCTCTGGGGTAACTTCCCAGGGGTGTCTGTGTCGGTCAGCTAAGTTTCTAGTCCTCAACTTGCTGCTTGGGGAAGTCTCTTTAAAAAGGCCCATCGAGGAAGGAGAGAGGCTATACATATGAATTTTTTATTTGGCCAACTTAGAGCTTTAGTTCTTGGGTGGCTGTGAGCCCCACTGCCCTACTCCCTGTGCCCCCTCTGAGCTGGTTGGGAGTGGCTGGGCCTGGGCTCCATTCTGGGCTGCCACCCTCGAGGTGTGAGTGACAAGGTCAGGTGGGGTGGGGGAGGCCGACACATGGAGAGGCAGGTTTCGCTATGGGAGAGATGGGCAGAGACAGCTGAGTGAGGGGACGGCGGGGGGGCAGGGGGTGGTTAGGGTTAGACATAGTGCCAGGCAGGAGGGAGAGTTGGCAGTTAGAAGGGTTTCATCAAGCTCAGGGGCAGGGCTCCTTCTGTGCCTGGGGGCAGCTGCACTCCTGAGGGTGAAGTGGGTAGTGTTTGAACGATAACAGGGGCACAGGGTCTGCATCCTTTACTCCCTAATCTTCCTGCATTCCTTGTCCCGGTCCCCATCCCACCCACCTTCTACTTTACGGCCCCTCTGGTCCCCCAATCTCTCTTCTGGAATCTGGACAAGTAGGGTTTAAGAAGTCTGTGAAACACTTCACTCCATGAGTTTGCATCTCAGTGGCTGGGGAGTACACCTGCTTCATATCCCTCTCCATGGCCCCCTTTGAGCCCTGACTTGTGACTTCACTGGGGTGGGGGTGGGAAATAGAGGAGGTCTGTAAGATGGGACCATCTCTGGTGATCCAGCAGACAGGAAGGGAGAGATGGATGTAAGAGGAAATGCTGCTGCCTTTGACTGACCCAAACCCTCTGGGCAGCCCACCCTTGACCCACCTTTCCCCTGCCCTCCCAATCAGAGAATCCTGGAGGGGTCTGGCCTCAGGCCCCTCAGGTTACCTCCAGCCCTGCCTCCAGCCTTCACCTTCGGAGCAAATTATGGGGGTAGACTAAGTCAGCAAAGCCCCTAGCTGTGGAGACTTGGAATTAGGCAAAGGGGGTGGCAGTTGGGACTAAGGGGGCAAAAGCAGGGGCCCAGAGAGAAAACTGAGTTGAGATGGGGAGGGGTGAGTACAAGGCAGGACAGTCCAGGAAGTGGATGGGGAAGCAGAGGATGGGAAGGGGGCAGCAGGAGTCCGAACAAGGACCTCAGCCCCTAACCTAGATGAAGCCCCAGAGAGCAAAAAGCCCTGACCCCCTCAGGAAACGACCGCTCAGTGGCTGCCTTTGCCAGGAGGAGCCGCGTGACCTTGGCTAGGTCGCTTTTCTCCTTGAGCCACGGTTGCCTCATCTGTCAAGTGGGGATGGAAGGACCCATTCAGTCTGTCTTGCAGAGGAGCTTGTTAATGTGCACATCCTTTGAAAAGGTTGAAAAGGCGCCGTTAATATTCATTTTCGCGGTACCTTCCGCAGCTCCGAGGCTGGCAATGCCCTGTGCAGTTGCCTGGCTTCAGTTAGCTTCCTGCAGCGAGACGCAAAGCCCCCTCCGCCAAAGCCGCGCGGTTCCGGCGCCCCTGCCCCTCCCACCCCTCGCTCACGCCGGCGGCATCAGGGTCACCGGCCAGGGGCTTGGGGTGGGGGAGACGCGGCTCACCGCGCCCGGAGCCGGGGCCCTGGTCTGACCCGCGGGCGCCTGTTTCTGCTTCACCCCCGCCCCCCCACCCAGCGCCCCGGGATGCCGTCTGGAGCCCGGATGCCCCACCAGGGGGCGCCCATGGGCCCCCCGGGCTCCCCGTACATGGGCAGCCCCGCCGTGCGACCCGGCCTGGCCCCCGCGGGCATGGAGCCCGCCCGCAAGCGAGCAGCGCCCCCGCCCGGCCAGAGCCAGGCCCAGAGCCAGGGCCAGCCGGTGCCCACCGCCCCCGCGCGGAGCCGCAGGTGAGTGGGGCCCAGCGCGGAGGGGGCGGACCGCAGGACCCGCAGGGACGGGGTGGGCGACGACCGGGATTGGAAGGGGCAAGGAAGAATGATCAGCAGGGAAGGAGTCGTCCTGGGTGGGATGGGCTCTGGGGAGGTGGGCTGAGGGGGCACTGGTCTGGTTCCTTTGTGTGCCCACCGTAGGGACTGAAGCTGCGGCCGTCGCGCCCTTCTCCTGGTCACCTGCTGCGTTCGTCTACCCACCCCTTGTCCCCAGGTCCTGGGTGATGCTTCAGGCTTTGGGGTGGGGGCGGGGCTGGTAGTAGGACCGAAGGCAGAGCTTTAGGACTGTATTTCTCAAAGTGTGGTTGTCCGGTGCGCCTTCCTCAGAAACCCCTGGCTTGCCTGTTTAAAAGCCCCACTCCAGATCTAGATCCGAATCTCTGTCCAGGGGGGTGGAGCCTGGGAATTTCCCTTGTGGGTGGGTGGTCTCTGCCCAGTCATGTTCTCAGGTGATTCTTAGGCCCTCAAAGGTTGAAGAGCGGCCATAATATGTCCTCTGGACCAGGTCTGCCCCCAAGCTACCAGGAGCCAGTCCATTTCCTTGTCTGAGCCAGCTGGTGGCACCCCCAAAGCCCAGGCTGGTGGCTGGCAAGAGCGATGCCCCTCTGGGTTTCAGTGTTTAGCCAAACACACATGCTTTCCTTTGCACACCAGATGGAGTCCTATAAAAGGCGTAATATGGATTTTACCTCATTATTAAATATTTTTTACACATCAAGGAAAATTCACCATTTATAGGAATCCCGCAAAAAATTCTTTTGCAAAGTGAATCATCCATTTATACAGTAAACAAGTCCCTGATTTATCTTATATAAATGGAGAGTTTCTTACAGATACTTGTTCAAAACAAATCAGACCTTTAATGAAAGCTGCTTGCCTAGCCTTAGGATAGATTTTTGGACAGGGATGGGGCAGTGGTTGAGAACACCACACGGGGGCAGTATGGAGCCATCTCAAGGCTGGGTTCTAATCTCAGTTTGCCAAGGATTTTCTGGGGTGCCTTTGGGAATAAGAAGCAGCTGGTGAGTCCAGAAGAGTCCAAGTCTCAGCTAGCCCAGGTCCAGCCTGCTGTCATGTCCCACAGGAGAAGATCCACACACACACCCCTTCTCTGGATCCCTGTGGGTGTGTCCCTGGGCCCTGTTGCCAGGTGGTCCAAGGGCATGAGCATCCCCTGCCCGTCAGCATCTCCTTCAAGCCCAGGGTGGCAGGGTGCAACCCTGACCAGCTTCACACCATTGCCTCCTGCTCCAGGGATGTGAGGGGGGTCAGCTCCCCTCCCTTTGAGCTCAGGCCACCTTGGACTGTGCATCCCTGCTTAGCAGAAAAGGAAAGTCCTCAGAATCTGTCCTCTGTCTCCTCTGTCTTCCCTTCTCCCCAGCTTTCCTCAAAGCCTTCTGCAGCTCCCCCACCCCCAGCACCTCCTAAGTCTAAATTTCTCTGGCCCTGAGGATGTGATGGGGTGGAAGGGGGCTCCCAGACTAGAGAAAGGACGGGGTCACCTCTGCTTCCTGTGAGAGGACAGAGCAATGCCATGCACCACCCCACATAGCCCCTTGGGCAGGCAGATGACGGGCTGTGGGAACCCCAGCCAGGCGGGCGGAGATGTCGGGATAATTTAGCAGGTGGCCTCGTTACTCCCAGATCTGTCGCCATGGTAACCTGGTTTTTTCTTTAAAAAATGTACAGTGCCAAGAGGAGGAAGATGGCTGACAAAATCCTCCCTCAAAGGGTGAGTGCCTTTCACAGCAGCCCCAGCCCACCCCCACCCTTTGCTGCTCCGCCCTCCTCTCCCCCCCACCCCAGCACCCGGTGTCCCCTCCCTTCCTCCCTCAAGAGCAGGGCTTCAGCTTCATGGTCACTTTCACTTTTTGTTTAAAAAGCTAATTAAGAAGTGAGGTTCCCCAGGCCAGAGGGAGGGGGTGGGGCGCAGGGAAGGAGTCAAGTCATAAGGGGCAGGATCCTGGGCCTGGGGTGCAATGGACTGAATTCCAGCCGTCTGAAGACATAAAGGTGTGGGACAAAGAGGGGACAAGAGCTAGGGGACCAGAGGCTGGCAAGGAGAGTGAAGGGAACAGAAGCTGGCCAGAAGGCCTGGGCATCACAACAGGACCCAGGCCAAGCTGGGTACGAGGGTAGCACCATTGAGACATGAATTGGAGCAACTGGGTGAGGTGCCAGGGTAGAGACAAGCAACGACATCCCTGAACTGTCTCAGGGACCCCAGGGTCCTAGCCACTTTGCAGACATCTAAGGGAAGCCCAGAGGCCGTGTGACAAGGGAAAGGACAAGATAAAGAGGTGAAGTCCTAGTGCTTGCTGGGCTCCACGGTTGTTACAGCCTCCCCTAGTGGTGAAATGCTTGGGGCCCCCTAGAGGGAGAAAGTTTTTATCCCTACGCATGGAGGCTGCTCCTGCGGGATAGAGAGTCCTGGGGGGAGGTCCCATTTGCACTCTTACAGTCCCAGAATCTCCATGCTCATTGTACCCTGGGACCTCATGACATGCTCACATTCCACCTAAAAGATTGGCTAAGGGGCTGGCCCGGTGGCGCAGCGGTTAAGTTCGCACATTCTGCTTCTGGGCAGCCTGGGGTTCGCCGGTTCGGATCCTGGGTGGGGACATGGCACTGCTTGGCAAAAGCTATGCTGTGGTAGGCATCCCACGTATAAAGTAGAGGAGGATAGGTATGGATGTTAGCTCAGGGCCAGTCTTCCTCAGCAAAAAGAGGAGGCTTGGCAGTAGTTAGCTCAGGGCTAATCTTCCTCAAAAAAAAAAAAAAAAAAAGATTGGCTAAGACCCTGGTTCCCTACCTTGCTCCTCCTCTTCTAGATCCGGGAGCTGGTCCCTGAGTCCCAGGCTTACATGGACCTCCTAGCATTTGAGAGGAAACTGGATCAAACCATCATGCGGAAGCGGGTGGACATCCAGGAGGCTCTGAAGAGGCCAATGAAGGTGCTTTGGGGGCAGGAAGAGGGCTCTAAGTCCTGTTCCCAGAATGGAGAAGTGGGGTTGCCCAGGGTGGGAGCACAGTGTTCGCTCTGTACTACACTCTTTATTTCTACAGCAAAAGCGGAAGCTGCGTCTTTATATCTCCAATACTTTTAACCCTGCGAAGCCTGATGCTGAGGATTCTGATGGCAGCATAGCCTCCTGGGAGCTGCGGGTGGAGGGGAAGCTCCTGGATGACGTACGTCCTGGCCCAGGTCTCTCCAAGTGTCCTGGGGTGGGTATGGGGCTGAGCTGAGGACAGAACTAGATGTTTGCACTAAGGGTTAGGGAGTCAGCCCTGGCGAGGGGTGGTGGGTGGCCTAGAAAGACATTTTGGGTGCGGAGGTCTGCTTCTAACCGTGCTGTCCTACCCAACCAGCCCCACCCACTCCCAATTCATTCTGCCCCCATGGTCCCTGTTCTGCCCCCACGGTCCCTGTTCCTCTCCCACAGCCGAGCAAGCAGAAGCGGAAGTTCTCTTCCTTCTTTAAGAGTTTGGTCATTGAGCTGGACAAAGACCTTTATGGCCCTGACAACCACCTAGTTGAGGTAAGACCCAGACGCCTTCTGCCCCTGAGTTGCCACTCTGCCATAGACCACGGTCCCGTCGGCTGCACAGATGTGCATCAGGGCCACCCTAGAGCCCCAGGCCCCACCAACCCAGATGGGCCTGTGAGTGACCTAGCTCTTCTCCCCTGGACAGTGGCACCGGACGCCCACAACCCAGGAGACAGATGGGTTCCAGGTGAAGAGGCCGGGGGACCTGAGTGTGCGCTGCACACTGCTCCTCATGCTGGACTACCAGGTCTGTGCCAGCCCCCTACCCTACAGACACCACACGAGGACCTGGACTCCCCCAACACTTTCTCTTAGGGTGGGCCTAGGCCTCAGAGGTGTACATCCTGAGACCCCATTCTCCTCCCTACTTCCCTTCTCCAGATGCATGTTTCTGTGGAGCCCAATCACCAAGTCCTTCCTGGCCCCAGCCTGCCTGCCCTATGCTCTTTCCACCCTCTCTTTTATCTAATTTTCACGGTCACCTTTTCCTAGCCTCCCCAGTTCAAACTGGATCCCCGCCTGGCCCGGCTGCTGGGGTTGCACACACAGAGCCGCTCAGCCATCGTCCAGGCTCTGTGGCAGTACGTGAAGACCAACAGGCTGCAGGACTCGCATGACAAGGAATACATCAATGGGGACAAGTATTTCCAGCAGGTACCCTCCACCCTGAATGCAGGGACGTGGGGAGCAGGCAGAATTACTAGGAGGGAAAGTACCTCTACTAAGGTAGCACCACTGCTCCCTTCTAGATTCCCGGGTATCAGAAATGGTACACAGTCATGGTCTCGAAGCCAGAGACCAGGGTCCTAGTCCAGGCCCTTCCATGGCACAGCTCTGTGCTGCAGCCCATCCATTTTAGCCACACCATGTTAGGAAGCTCTGGAACCCTATAAGGCCAGTAGCCCCAGGTTCTAGTACTGGGTCCAGACTCCGAGTAAGTTACTGAGCTATTTTTGTACCTTGTTTCTTTGCAATGGGGTAATAATACCTGTCCCATCTAACCCACTGGACAGTTGGGAAAATCACATTGCTATGAAAGTAACTTGATAAAATTCTACCAAAGTAGAGATTATTAATAATTTTTAAATAAACACAGTAGGTAACCTGAGAAGTAAAAATAAGTCGATGTTTAATGAGCACTCACCATGTGCCAGGCATTGTTCCAAGCACTTTATGTGTACCGATCCACTGAATTCTCACAACAACCCTGTGAGATAGGTACTGTTATTCTCCCCATCCTAGAGATGAAGAAACTAAGGCCTGCTTGCTCAAAGTGGTCTAGGAAGTGGTGGAAGCAGGATTTATACCTAGGCCAGCCGACCCAGGGCTGTGCTGTCAGCCACTGCACTGCCCAACTCCTTGTCAGCCCTCCACCACCCACAGCCTCTCCAGTCGCAGCCCCGTGAGCACTGAGGAATTAGCCTTGCTCCTGGCTTCTTGTAGCCTTTCCAGGATAGAAGAATCCAGAACTGTAGTTATGCTCTTTTCAAGCACAGAAGAGTGGTCTCTCTCCTACTTCAGATTTTTGATTGTCCTCGGCTGAAGTTTTCTGAGATTCCCCAGCGCCTCACAGCTCTGCTATTGCCCCCTGACCCAATTGTCATCAACCACGTCATCAGGTGAGGCCCCAGCTTGCTCCTCAGACCAGGGAATCACTGGGGTCCTGCCCTCCCTGCCCCTCCCTCTTCCTTCCACCCCCACGACCCCTCCCTCCCCCAGTGCATCTGCCCCCGGGGCCCTTGGCCTCTGCGAGGGCAGCATGGACACCAAGGGCTGGACTTCCCTGGCAGCGTGGACCCGTCGGACCAGAAGAAGACGGCATGCTATGACATTGATGTGGAGGTAGAGGAGCCACTGAAGGGGCAGATGAGCAGCTTCCTCCTTTCCACAGCCAACCAGCAGGAAATCAGCGCTCTGGACAGTAAGGTGGGGCCAGAGCCCAGAGCTGGAGTAGGACATTAACCCAAAAATGACAAAGTGCAGACAGAACAGATAAGAGCACGGGCCTATGGAGAGATGAAGGGGACAGGTGGCCCTTCCCTTGCTACTTGGAGCCCCGCCCATACCCCCCTTCCCTGGGACTGCAGAGGCATCAGGGACCTAAGGGATCACCCTTGAAAAGAACAGCAGCCAATCTCTCCCCCTACTTACCCCTCCTCCTTCCCCTCCTCTCCCACATCACCGGGGCCAGGTGAAAGTGTCTGTCTTTCTACCTGTAGATCCATGAGACGATTGAGTCCATAAACCAGCTCAAGATCCAGAGGGACTTCATGCTAAGCTTCTCCAGAGACCCCAAAGGCTACATCCAAGACCTGCTCCGCTCCCAGAGCCGGGACCTCAAGGTGAAAGGGACTCAGGGAGCACTGGATGGAAGAGAAGCATATGGGGAAGACAGTAAATATGTACACAGGGACTGGAGGGGTCCACGCTCAGGGCTGACCCAATTGCTCCCTCCCAGGTGATGACAGATGTGGCAGGCAACCCCGAGGAGGAGCGCCGGGCTGAGTTCTACCACCAGCCCTGGTCCCAGGAAGCTGTCAGCCGCTACTTCTACTGCAAGGTGTGGAGGGGCCCGTGCGCCTCAGGCCTCCCCCTCACTCTAAGAGAAACCTCCCTTCTCTGCCTGGCCAGTGGCCCTGGCCACTCCACCAGCCCCCGCACCACATGTAGCCCTCCCTGTTCCCAGATGCTCTTCCAGGCCAGGCCGGGTGGCGGGGTTGTCCTGTCACTCACCAGCAACACCATAACCCTGCTCCTGCTCTTATTTCTCTACAGATCCAGCAGCGCAGGCAGGAGCTGGAGCAGTCACTGGTTGTGCGCAACACCTAGGAGCCCCTGAGAATGAGCACCACTGTGGGCCTCTGGGCCCACACCCTGTCCCCCAGGGCTCTGCCATCACTCCTCTGACACCTTCTGGGTGAGGCAGGGGACTGGATTAAAGGTCATTCATCTGAGAGCAGCTGTGTGGTCACTGGCAACTGGGGAGGGAGGGAGGAGGAGGGGAAGGCAGTGGGTTCCTCTGGGAAAACTCCCACCCCCCTCCGTCAGATTCTTCTCCTCACTCCATTTTCCCTAGACCTAAAAACAGTTTGGCAGAAGACACTTTAATATTTTCTTATTTAAAAAATACAGCAACAAGCTCTCCATCTGTCCATCAATCTTGCCTTGCCTTTCCCAGGGCTAAGGCAGAAAAGGGAAATATGCAGAGGTGCATGGCCCCGGGTGTGCTAGGTGCTGTTGGCCTGCTCCTGTTCAAACAGAGCCATGGCGAGCTGGGCACGGCCCCCCAACCCCTCCAGGTTGCTCAGGCGGCAGCGGTGGTAGAGTTCCTCACTGAGCCGAGGGCTGCAGTCACGCAGGGAGAACTTCTGCACCAGCCCTGGCTCCACGGCCCGGAAGAGGTGGAGCCCTGAGAACCGGAGGAAAACATCCATCACCTCCAGCCCCTCCAGGGCTTCCTCCTCTTCCTGGCCTGCCAGTTCGCCAGCCAGCCGGGCTCGGGCTGCCAGGTAGTCCGCATTGTAGAAGCAGCCCTCCGCAGAAGCCTGTCGGTCAAACCTGCCTCCCACAGAAGCCCCCCGGGAAGGGTCAGCACCAGGAGGGGACGGGGGATCAGGGCCAGCCCCGGGGGCTCCCGGGGGAGATCTCTGTGGTGCCAGGGCAGGGTTGAACTCCTGGAAATGGACTGGGAAGAAGGCCTGCCAGCCGGAGATGGCATTCATGCGGCAGCGGTTAAGGACTTCGGGCCCAGGCCTGGTCCACACGGTGGTGAGGAAGAAGAGTGTGTCCACGGGATGCTTCTTAGAGACCACGTCCATGAGCCTCACCTGGGAAGGGGCCTCTGCTCGTACAGCGAGCCAGGCCAGCCTCGTCCCAGGATATCGTCGCTCTAACTCAGCCGCTGCAGCCTTCACCCCAAGAAATGGGTCTGGGGCCCCTCGGGCACCTTCCCGCGGCCCATAAACCAGCAACAGGGTGAGCAAGGCATGTTCTCGTGGTTCCAGAACACTGGCTGCAAAGGCCTCGAGGAAAGCAGGGGCTGCAGCAGCTTCAGCCACCAGGAGTGGCAGCACCAGCTGCACGCGGGTGGCCTCAGTGACATAGGGCATAGGCAAAATTTCCACCCGGCTCAGTGGCCGCAGCAGGCTGACCCTGCGGGCCAGGGCCCGCCGATGCCCACGCTGCGTCACAGCTTCCAGCAGCAGGTCCAGGGTGTACTCCATGCCCCGCGCTGGATCGAAGCGCCGGTAGCCATTGAGCAGCCGCTGCTTTTGGAAACGCAGGCGGGGCTGATAGCGCCGATTCAGCTGCTCCATAGCAGTCTCCACAGCATCACCCACATCCGCCCTGCTAGCCCCTTGCAGTGGGCACTTGGGAGCCCCATCTGCACAGGAGAAGGTATGCTGCTCTGTGAAGTAGTCCCAGCCCAGCACCTCAAAACGAGAGTGTGGTGTGAAAGGGGCCGGGAGCCCAATGGGCCAGCTCAGCCCTGCCTCCCCCTCGGGGGTCAGCACAGTCAGGTTCCGGATCTGCGCCTAGGGTGGGAGGGACACACAGTTAGAGCCCATCTAGGCAGTCAGGACCCTAGCCAGCTCCAGCGTCCTGGGTTCTGAGCTCTACCCTGACTCCATCAACACTTAGTGAGGTGCCCTTCGGCTAATCGTTTACTTCCCTGTACTTTACTTCCTTTGTCTGTAAAATGCAGAAGGCATCTGAATCATCCCACCTTACACAGTGGCCATGAGGAAGAGGAGGAGGAGGAGGTGGGAAATGTGCCTCTGTGGCACTGAGAGCATCCTGCAACACAAAGCTGGCAGCCTTGCTCTCCCGACCCAAGGCATTCACACCCTCTTTGTGATGGGCCTTTGTTTTCACCTGTATCCCACCTCGAGAGAATTCCACCTTCTACCTTTGGGGTTTTGAAGGCCTGTGCTAGAAGTCCAGGGACTTCTGAGGTTTTCGCCCCCTTGGTGGAGAGGTACTACTGGAGAGGAGCTAAAACTATCCTAAGCACCGTACTGAGCCCCAATCCTCACAGTTCACCTGCAAACCCTTTTAATTGCATCCAAATTGTGCCAGGAAGTTATGATTGACCTGGACCCCCAAAAGTCCCTTCTCCCCAGAGTTGTTTTAAATTTAGGTAGAGTCAGCCTCTTTCTACGCCGCCCAGCTTCCCCTCTCACTCAGCTGCCCGCTCACTGGGAGCCTGGACACCTGCCACTCCCTCTACCTCCAGCAATGGTCCCCTGGCTCACCTGCAGTTGCTCTATTTCACTGTACGCCCTCTCCAGCTCCAGAGCACTGAAGCGTTTGTGGAGCCGGTACATGAGGGTTCCCTCGGAGACAGGGTGTACTGCGAAGGCACTCAGGAAAGCCGAGCTCCCCTCCTTCTCAGGGTCCCTATTTTTGGCCAGTTCAAATGAGCGATACTGCTGCCCCTAGAGAGACCAGTCAGACCAATCAATGCCACACATGGAGGGCTGCCTGTCCCAACTGCTCTTAGCCAAACTCAGCATTCACACCTAATACTGCTGCTGTCACAGAAGGGAGGAGGGAACGAGAGCTCATTGCAGTGTCCCCTTAACCTTGGCCTTACTCTCACCACTGGATTGTGGAAAAAAGAATATTAAGTAGGCAACTAAGGATGCCCTCTTCCCCTAAAGAACCCCACGGTCTCTCAAGAGAATGAAAGCCATGAGCCACCAAACACTCCCAGTACCCTGGTTTGAGAGAATGAACCCCCTCTGGGATCGTCCCCTCTTCTCCAATAAACAGGGCAGCTCTCTGGGCTAGAAAAGTAACTACCTTACTCCTCCAGAAGAGTGGACATCTCTAGGACATTCCCAGATCATTCACGACTGTGCATGTCAGGGGAGGGGGGGAGGGCAGGGCGCAGACGGGAGGCAGACTCAAGGTGAGTAGGGGCACCTTGCTGTCTTGCTCAGAGGGTCCCTAAAAAGATGCCAGTTCTGACAGAAGACTGCCAGAAGTGAGCAGGGGAGAGCCAGAGGGGCGGTCAGTGGCTGGGGCAGGCCGCTGACAGGGCGGTCAGGGGAAGGACAAAACGATGGCTCCAAGGTGGTGCTAGGAAGGAGCCAGCAGCATCCAGCCTGGAGACCACTCACGACTAACTTGTCAGGGACTGGGAGTGACTTGAAAGGGCTGTCACCTGGTGCTGTGAGACACAGCCAATGCCCAGAGAGTCGATGAGGCAGCGGCCAAGCCACTCGTCAGGACGAGCACTGAGAATATCTCCTCGGCAGCCATCCAGATGTGGCCGCAATCGAAGCAGGAGACTCCGTGACAACAGGTAGCCAAAGCCCCCGTGGCAGTACCGGGCCTGCTCGCCTGTGCCAATGAACTCCTCTGCCCGGCCCAAGTACAGGTCTTGGTTGATGCTGAGGTGGCCGGCAAGGGCTGCCAGGCGGGGGGCCTGCACATACGTGTCATCCTGCATGATGAAGAACCAGTCGTAGTCGGCCCCAAAGTGTGTGTGAAGATAGCGCAGGGTCTCTGACATGAGCCAGGCTGGCCGCTCGTCCCCATGAGATACCACCTGCATCCCTGCCGGAGTCCGGGCCCCTCGCTGCCCAGTGAAGTAGAGTAACCGAGGGAAGTGGTGGGCCACTGTGCGGTTCACAGCCACAGCAAGAGTAGACAGCGTGGCCCGGGAAGTCAGGACAGCCACCAGCAACCGCTCACGAGAGCCCAGCTCTGTCTGGATGTACCGAGTCCTGTGGAGAGACCAGTGTGCCAAGGTCAACTCCCTAACCTTTAGGAACCCAACTTGTCCAGCACATACATTGCCCTGGGAATAAGTGAGCTGGGGTTGAGAAAAGAGAAGGGAGAGACCTTCTCATCAATATTAATGAGCTACTAGAGTGAGCATCCACTGAGAAAGTGACACTGGAATTGATTTGGGGAGGGGTCTATTAAGGATAGATTAGATGGGTTAGATGCAATTCCTGCCCTGGATGTCAAGAACATCCAACACTAATTTAACACCATTGGATGAAAATTTTTCAGACCTGAGGAGGGAAAAGATAGGAAAAAAGTGTGATGAGTAATAAAGCAAAGAATTGCTCCAAGAAGCCTAACACAGCTTACCAGTGAAGGCAGAGGCAAGGACTTAGACGAGTCCTAAACTGGGGTCTGGGGGCCCCGTACACATAGCTCTCACCTGAGCACCTTCTTATAGGGCTTGTTTGGATCCCTGTAGTAGGGGACAATCCGGGGTTTGAAGTCTTCATCACTTTGGTCAAGCCGAGTTCTTGAGTCTGGATTCTGTGGCCCTCCTGGCTCCCCCACAGCCTCTACACAGGGATCTTCTCCCTCACCTTGGATCCAGGAAACCCGCAGGAGGCTCAGGCTACATCCCAGAGACAGCCCTAGGATGAGGGGCAGTGCTGGTCGCAGCAGAGCCAACAGGGAACTCAGTCGCATGATGGTACGCCCTGCCATGTGTGTGCCCCAAAGGGCACAGCCTCAAGGATCGATCAGTGGGTTGATGGGCACCAGGCCAGTAGTAGGCCAGCAGTTTTAACACGGAACCTGGGGTCAATGAGGTCGACAACAGAGCAAGGTGTGTTTGCTTCCAGGCCCAGCATCCCCAGGAAGCATCTGCCTGGTCTTTAGTAACCAAGGAGTCAGATCTAACCTTCAGTCCCAATGGTAACAGATATGAGAATCAATTTTACCCACTATTGCTATTGTGGTCTGTCTTCCAATAGAAAAGGGAGGAAATAAAACTCAATCCTGCCAAACCTAACCCAAAAATGAAGGACTACACACATATGTAGACTGGATCTAAATCAAGAGACAGCAAGGACGGATAAAGAGGTTGGGACAAAGCACATGCTCCACCAAAACAACAGCCCCAACTAAAGGAGCGTGCCTCAGTAGGCCTTTCCCAAAGAGTGCCCAGCTCGGGCACGTTTCTGTGCCCTGGGCACTCTA